ATATGTATGTATGTGTGTGTGTGTGAAGATCCGCACGTGTTAGTACACATGCACACACATCAAAATAGAGATAGATAGATACATAGATAAACACGATGTTGAACTGTAAATGATATAATCATATATGATTATTAGTTTGAGATTTAATATTCGAGTGGCCTGCAGTATTATATATATATATATATATATATAGGGGAGCACGAGTTGTGGATATATACATGTCCATAAGTGTATGTGCATATCAGTAAAATAATGGATGACTTCATTCAGATTGTTTCTTGTACAAAATTATTTGTTATTTTTTAAGTGATAAGTAGTAGAAGAAATACTCTCGAATGAAACACCTATTATTATCAATAAGTGAACAACTGTCTACACTAAGTAAAAACTAAGTAATAACCAGTGTGATCTAACTTTTATTTCTGAACGAATACTAATCAGAATGGGTTTTGTGGAGATTTTTAGAGATTTTAATGGTTGAAATTATGAGTCAATTGAAGCTAGACCACTTCAGGAGATACTCCTGGAGTTCTAGTGAGAAACCGTTACCAGTGGAGTTCAACCAGGTCTGTTGTGAGATATAAACTCACTGAAGACAATGGTGTACGGTGGCGCAACTTCGTGAATTGGTTGAAGTTAGACATTAACACTGTTGGATGCCAACTCAGTGGTCTAGTTTGTTAAGCGACTGGCGCGAGACTGATAGGTCCTGGGTTCGAATCTCGCGGGAGGCGGGATCATGGATGCGCACTGTTGAAGAGTCTCATACTAGGACGAAACGGCCGTCCAGTGCATCCAGGTTTTCCATGGTGGTCTAGCTTCAACTGACTCATGATTTCAACCAGTGAAAATACTAATCAATCAAGTCATAATTTAGCCATTGGTTTCAGCGACTCAACATTCTATGTATATCATGTTTAATGTCAGAGATTCAAAAATAGCCTTAGAATAAGAATTCACTCTAGTTGGTCCTTATGAGCGATTTATATCTATGATCTTGATTGGATTACTGATCTCCATGAGATTTAACTTAGAATTACGCAATGTCACAGGAATTCAGGAACTACTCAGATAACATACGGTAGTAACTTCCTTGATTAAGAAACTTTATTGTATGAATTAGGATCTTATGGCATGTACTGATCCCTTTGACGAGTACAAACTAGGTTTGAAGTCTTTTAAGACTAAAGTCAACTATTAAAAATCAAGTAACTACTCCAAATCAATTTTGAGTATTGAAAATGAAAACGGAAATGTACTTCAAAATGTGTAAAGAGTGGCACTTTTCATGATCTTGAAGTAGTTAAAAATCAATCAATTACAATACATGATTGAATGAAAGTGGAAGAACAAGATTTGGAGAACAATATGAATTAATTATACTTTAAGATTTCTCATCAGCTCAAAGCAAATTATTGTTATAACGCTCGGTTTTACTTTGTCTAGTGTTATAACGGTTGGGTTTCCACGTTTACATGTATGGGATGTTAATTTACCTTAGACGAATATCTACACTAGATTCCTTCCCAGTGTCCATTCTTCAGGACTTCAACACAACTCAAATCAAGAACACGTGATTAGCCTGACCATAACGTAAATATATTTCCACACCAAAAACCCGACACAATCCAACAACAATGAACAATCAATAATAAGTGAGTCACAATAATAAGGATAAGGGAATATATAACTCATCTAACACTTGTCAGACTATCTACATATCTGACTAAGCAGACAACCAAACATTATCATTCTCGCCCACATATCAATAATAGTTAAGATTGGTTAGTATTGATATGATGAAGATGAAATCATAAAAAAGGGGGAAAAGGAGGAAAGTTGTAAGTGATAATAAATAGATAATGAATAGAAACAAATTATTAACAGATTAGTGATAGTCAAGGCACCTAATTGACATATAATTAACACTAACGTTGTAAATGGATGTCAGTGCGATTTTCTACTTCAAGTTATAAATTATATTGAAAAGATAATGTAACTGACAAGCATTAAAGTAATATAACTATCTTACTGTGGTCATGATAGATTTACTACACTGTCTTTTTGTATACACAGGTGATGTCGTAAGCTCTTGATGGTAATGTCCTTGGAGAAAATAGTATATTTTACCATTAATTATTTCTAACGCTGTTTATTATCTATTAAATGTTTAATGATCACATTTATGAATACTTCATTTTGGACATAACTTACGAAGAATGTATTTGAAATACCATGTAAATATCCTTCTTTTGATCCTTCCTATTCAATTCCTTTCACAAGTACATGTCAATTCATAACTACAGTTAAAGGTGATATCAAAAAGAGTATTGATCCACCTTTGATTGATTTAAGGAATCATTTGATGTTATACACCAAAAATAGTTGAGCTTTATAGAAGTTTCTCTTTAGCGTTGCTATAATACTGTAATCAATCTTGCCCAATATTTTCTCACCTATACACATAAGAATATTGTTTTACTTATGATGAAGACTTAAAAATACAAGATAATTATTTATATCCGATCTAATGTGATTCGTATTTTAGTTTAAATTTTGACTTACTTAGATGTTTATCTATAACAATTATGAAGGCCAACTATAATTTGGAAAGAGAATATTATTAGTTCAGATTGTCTTACTGTAAACACATAACTTTACTTTCAAAAATTTTCAAGAAAACGTATAGGGTGGTGATAACATTGCAAACCGTAATGTTACTAAGAAATCAGAACACTATACTCGAGTAGGTAGTTAGATTATTCCTTTTCATTGGTAAAAAAAGTTGAAGTGATCCTCAACTAGACATCCTAAATTTTCTTGTTTTTTTTTTCAGAACAGGATGAATTCGTGAAAATACATTATCATAGTTCACAAACAAAAAAATCATTTACTTTTCAAGTTGACTACCGGCATCCAGACTGAATCATTAACCATTGATGATCTATAAATTTAACCATAGTAAAAGTTTCTTACTTAAGTGTAGTAAAGTGAAAGTTGGATCATTTGAAAGATTTGTACATACAGATAAAAACACATGCCTTTGAAATATGCTATCTTTGTCAAATTGAATTTTGCTTGACCAGTATTAATCGAATGCTGTAAAACGTCTATGATTCGATTATTTTGTTTCAATCATAAGAAGTAAATTTGTGTAAATTAGTTCATTTGAACAGTTTGTAAAAGCGAATAATCACTAAGACAATGTTTCCTTCAAGTTAACAACTCATTCACCATACTCAGTCATGACCTGTTTAGAGATGATAACATCGATATCAAAGTTTAATTTCAGATACTTTACTAATCAGACACTAAATAATAAGTCAGTAATCTACTCCCAACATGACTGAATTCCATCAGTCATTCTTTTTCACAAGAAGTTAGAGAAATATTTGCAAAACCAGTCACTATTTTATCTACACATCACTGTCATTTATTAAGGTTGTGAGTTGTAGAGATTGTTCAGTCTTGACGATCGTAGACTATTGGTTTCAGATTCAGTGATCTAAAAATCGTATGCTCATCATAAGACTTGCATATCATACGTGGGATTTCGTTTGAATTCTCAAAAACCTATCGTACTAAAGTTCAGTGTTTTTCTATTCGTGTTTCAATCATTGACCTATATCAGTCAATCATATTTTTAAAATAAAAACATCAGTAAAACGTACTTTAAGTTATTAATAAACTTGACTTTTATGTTAGGATAACTATCCTTTTTTTTCAAGTGTTCAATAAGTGTGTAATATCTAGCATTTTCAGGCATATTTCTGTTTATTTAATCGGTCAGTACTGCAAATAAAACTCCGCCTGGAGTCCCTCCAGGGTCTACTGCTGGTCCCAAACCCAGGTAAAGGAGGAGAGTTGGGCATGGGGTTAGCGACCCATATCCCGTAGAAAACTAACTCGCTAAAAATACGCTTAACAGAAAAAAAATATTTAAACAATTTAAGTACTGCAAATAAGAATATCATTTTCACTTGAAAGTTCATTTCAATCATTTACATATGTCTTCCATGAAGACGACACTGTAGAACATTCCAACTTGACAGAAAAGTAAAAAAAAACTAAATAAACTGAGAGTCAAAACTTAAAATAAAATTTTCAATTTTCAATGTAACACACCTACTTTTTCTGGTTAGCGTTTTTTAGAGAGTTAGTTTTCTACGGAATAAAGTCCTTAACCCCATGAAAAACCCTCCGGGGCCGGCAGTAACCCCAAGGGGGCTCCAGATATTATACAATATATTGAACATTAAGACATGGATTCACAGTAACTTTACGTATATGTATCTAATCTCAATTTTTATCTCTCCTATTTTGATACATCCCACTTCTATAATATCATATCTTTGGGTCAATATTAAAGATTCAAAATTGTTCCACTGCTAACCACTATTCATCTTTGTATATAATACTTGTGAATTAAGATTATATCGAGGCAATACATAAAGTATGCAGATATACCAATAACAAACTGATCATTTACAGTCCTAAATATCAATGAAAAGATTCAAACAACCAGTATCAATTGAATTTAAACTTCATCCCATTGCACAAACAAGTGGCTATCAGGACTCAGTACCTAAGTAGATAACACGAAGGCGTTTCTAGCGAATGATACTGAGTTCGAGTCCTAAAGTGAACATCAACTTTGAGATACAGGTACATCCACTAGCTGACGAATCAAAATAGGACAAAACATGCGCCTTGTATTCCACTACTAATCACTATCCATCTTTGTATATAATACTTATGAATTAAGACTATCTCAAGGCAATACACATAGTATGCATATATGCCAATAACAGATTGATCAATGGGAATATTCAAACAAACAATACAGAAGTGAATTTAAAATATTACTTCCCTTAATAATTTTTTGATTGGTCAATTCATCGCAATATTTCTTTTTTTTTTGAATGGTTACCATGTCTACTTTATTTATTTATTTATTTAAAAGAAAAAATCTGATTGGTCAATTCATGGTCATGTGTCATCAATTCTATCTTCATAATATCCATGTAAAATTAGGCACGCGATCAATTTTTTTAAAAAAAAAATTATTTTAGTTACAATTATTGTGTTTAATTCAAAATGTCAATCGATTGCAATTTATCACCTACCATTGAACCAATTCGTCAATTATTTACAAATAAATTATTACAGAAACCAATAAAATATAAAAATATTCAAATAGAAGCCTATGAAGCATGTATGAAAAGTATACAAAATATTCAAGATCAATATAATATTGATTTAAATCAATTAAATACATTAAATTCAATCATAATTAATGATAAATCCTATTGGAAATGGGAAATTATTAATTCAACTATTGAATATATACCATCATTTTATTATCATCAAAATTATGATCGATCTAATAAAATGATAAATAATCATCATCATCATAATAATAATCAATTCAATAATCAATATTCAATGATAATTCCATCAACTCCATGCAAAAAATTAAATCAAATTAATCGAAATCATCATACAATCGATAATAATGGAATATATATTAAAGATCAATTCACTTGTAAACAATCTATTCCATTGAATAATGAAATGAAACAGATAACATTACATAATAATCAATCATGTAATTTATTTACACTATGGCAACCAAAAATAAAACGTGAAAATTACATTCATTTAAACAAGAATCAATTAACAAATAAATTAAAAAATCAATCATCTTTCATAAATTATCGATCTAAAAGTTTAGATCATGATTTAAATCATTTAATACAATTAAATCAATTAAATCAATATCATAAAACTAAAATAAAAAATCAATTTTCTTCATGTATTGATCTTTATCAAATGAATAATAAACAAATAAAAAATCAATATGAAACCATTGATTCCCTATCGAAAGAAATTAATAGAAAATCAAAAAATGAACATATGATTAAAAAATCTAAGCAAAAAATAATCAATAATCATTTATTGATTACATGAAATATAAAATCGAATATTATGGTTTCTACTACTACTACTACTACTTAAATGACGATAAGTAAGTAGCATGTTGAAAATCTTTTTCGAAAAAATGTTCATTTATTTACTGACTACATGATGCTACAATTTGTTTTTTCTTCTGTTCAATGTATTCATGCTTTCCGTAAACAAAATAGTTTCTATGCAGTTTTGTGTTGTTGTTTTTTTTTGGTGGAGTTTTGTTCTTTGAGCTGGAATAAAACTCTATCCAAATCATTCATCTGAAATACAAATCTTCTCCATCATCTCAAATCATAAGTGTGTTGTTGAAATGTCATCATAAGCGACAAACAGTTTGTTCTGATCAAGTATATACTTGATAATTCACTTAATTGATTTCATCTTGATGATATCATCTAAAAAAATATTCATAATTCAATCTTTCATCTGGAAGAATTCGATATTACAGAAATCCTTTATTCATCCTTCCATAATTACTTTTGATTTTTAAGTTCAAAACAGTTTGATCATCCGATAGTCTTTCAAAGTTCGTGTCCTTTTCTAAAGATTACTAGATTTCTTTTTGTAAACCACCTAATAATAATCTCACTTTTTCGATGTAAGTTGTATGGAGTTATTAGCAAATTTAATAGTGAAACCTATCTATGTCATTTTTGAAGCATTTCACTATCAATGGATTGAAAGAGAATTGAATGCCGACTATGTGGTTTAAAGGTTAAGCGATCACTGTAAGGTCTAAAGATGTTGAGTTCAATCTTTTATAAGGTTGTAGATAAACACAACTGAATAGTTCCATATTAGGGGCTAAACTAGTACGTTTTAGTCATTGGTTGTTATTATCACTAAAATTAGTTCGTGATGTAAACTATTAACCATTTCAACTCCTTTAGAACTTCAAAAATAATTTATAATTTGATATTAACTAGAAAATGATCAAATAAAAGTTATTCTTATTATTGAATTACCTAAATAGTGACTATATTATATTCCATATCAATAATTATAGAAAATTCATTTCGTCCAACTTTAAGACTCATCAGTGATGCTCACTTATAAGCTTACAGTAAATTATTATCTACAAATATCATGTTTTACATTAACCATGATACTTTTTATTCATTAAATCGAGATCTAATGCCGAATAGTCTCAGATTAACATAAAATACTTATTTACTACTTTTTTATAATCAGTAGTTTACAAATTGTTATTAGTCTCTTGAAAAAATAGTTTTAATGCAACTCAATAATTAACTATACACACTTTTGTATTTCATTTAATCTTGTTTACCTAAATCGAAGTAAGTTAAAGTCAATGACATAAATTATACTTCGTATATGTTTAAATTCATTAATTCCCTATTTTCAGAAGGGGTTTTGTCGAGATTTTTAGTAAATTCAATAGTTGAATTCATGAGTCAATTGAAGTTAGACAACCATGGAAAACCTAGATACACTAGATGGCCATTTCATCCCATTGCGGGACTCATCAGCACTGCGCACCCACGATCGTGCTTCGTGGGATTCGAACCCAGGACTTACTGGTCTCGAGCGCGAGCACCTAACAACTAAACCACTGAGTCGTTCGGCATCCAACGGTGTTAATGTCTAACATCAACTAATCCACGAAATTGCGGCACCGTACACCAATGTCTTCAGTGAGCTAATATCTCATAACAGAACTGGTTGAACTCCATTAGTGACGGCTTCTCACTAGAACTCTAGGAAATACCTTTTGAAGTCAGTCACTAGTGAGCATAAAATGATTATTATGAGAAGGGGTTTTGTGGAAATTTTAGTAATTCCAATGGTTGAGTCGCACAATAGGACGAAACGGCTGTTTATTGTTTTCAGGTTTTTCCATGGTGATCTAGCTTCAATTAACTCATGATTTCAACGATTGAAATTTCCTATTTGTTAAGGTTATTTTTTCAAGGTCAACATGATGAATTTTAAGCAGAATCAAATGTATTTATTCAAGATAAATTAGAATTAAATAACTGAACAACAATATGGTATGTTAATTAGATGTTAAATTATAATTAAACAATAAAAAGGTGTAGTTGGTAATCACTAAGGCGAAGTATACTCCCTTTTTTTTTAAAAAAAATTGATTTTCTAGTCATTTTATTAATAATTATATTTCATCTTAGACAATAACGGGGCGGATTTGCATGCATATAGCATACAATTCTCTTTGAACCTAACACACAACAATAGCATCATGCACTGTCCCATCGCCATTGGCAGATCAGGCAATCCGAAAGTTAAGAGAACACCATCAGGGTATTCATTAGTTTACTGATGATCTATTTAATAATGTTCTTCAAATTCCACTGAGAAATTATATTTAGTGGAGTTTGAACATAACGTGAATGAGACAACTATCTCTAATTGCATTTTGATGATTATCCTGATATATCATCAACTGAGTGAAGCTGGAATTTTACAAGTGAACGCCGATTTGTTAGTTCTAATAGTTAGTGGTTTATAGTGAGGTACGAAGGTCCTACTTTCGAACCCTAGGTGAGCACCACCGAAAAGCTTCCTTAGGAGAATCAAGTAATTGTTCAGTTCTCCTGGTTTCGAATCTCGCTAGGCAGGATCGGGGATGCGCACTGCTGAGGAGCCGTATGCTAGAATGAAACGGCCTCCCAGTGCTTTCAGGTTTTCCATGATGGTCTAGCTTCAATTGACTAATAAATTCAGTTATTAAATTACTACAATCTCCACAAAACCCCTTCTCATAATAATCAACATATACTCACGAGTGGCTGGCTTCAAGAGGTATATCCTGGAGTTCTAATGAGAAACAGTGACCAATGGAGTTCAACCGAGTCAGTTGTGAGATATTAACTCACTGATGACAATGGTGGATGTGTCGCTCAGTTTCGTGGATTAGTTGAATTTAGACATTAACACCGTTGGATGCCGATCGGCTCAGTGGTCTAGTGGTTATGTGCTCGCGCTCGAGACTAGTAGGTCCTGTGTTTGAATCTCGTGAGTCAGGATCGTGGATGTGCACTGCTGATGAGCTCCACAATAGGAAGAAACGGCCGTCCAGTGCTTTCAGATTTTCTATAGTTGTCTAACTTCAATTGACTCATGAATTCAACTATAAAATTATCATTATTGTCATTGCTACAATTCACTTTTGTTTATTGTTTTTTTAGGTGACTACAAAACTGACTTATCGAATGTACAATATTCAATAGTGACCTTCGAGGAGATCATTATCATTATTATTTATCTTACTATTACTGCTAATAATAATAATAATATTCTTATTATTATGTACCAATTGTTTTAAAGCTAAACATTAATTTTATTCTATTTTGTATGTAACGCAATCTTTTCAAATATTTATGTATAGAATATTGAATTTTCTCTTGGGATCTTATATCTTCACCTTGTACAAAAAACAAATTAATATAAACTACGTGTTAATTTATACTTTTTTAAAATATCAGAATGGTTTTTTGTGGATATTATAGTAATTTTAATGGTTGAGATGATGAATACCATTGAATGATGGCCAGCTCAGTGATCTAGAGGTCAAACGTTTGTGCGCAACCAATAGATCTTGGTTTTGAATCTCGCTAGACAGGATCATGGATGTGCATTGCTGAGGAGTTCCACAATAGGATGAAACGGCCATCCAGTATTTTCAAGTTTTCCATAATGATCTAACTTCAATGGATTCATGATCTCAACCTTTAAAAAAGTAAATTCTTCACATTGTACACATTACATATGAGTGTATATTCATTGATTTTGTTAAGAATAATTGTATGGATCCATTTCAGTTCTTTTATGAGTCAAATTACATGTACAGCCTCTTTGTTTTCTTTCTATTTATTTATCTTTTAACATTTAAAATGTAATCTGTAATAAACATGTAAACATTCCAAGTTTGTTTTTATCCCAATAGTTTTGAAGTTTAGGATTAATATCCTTGATATTCTTAGTTATTTCATTTATTGATTTATCAAATGATAAGTGTATATCTACTACCATATCAAAGAGTGAATTTTTTTATTTATTTCAACACATAAATATTGGTATAAGAGGGCACCAAATATATATGCGCCACACCATATTTGTGTGTGTGTGTGTGGGCTGTGAATCTGCCCGGGTGCCCGAACAGAAGCAGGTGGTTTTCTTGGGGGGCCACTCCCCGGGCCTTTGACCTAAAAGTCTGATCCACAAGGTAGTGGAGCATCGTGAAGGGATGCATTCCCATGGTAGCCGGTGACCAACAATCGGTTCATACACCATTCGTTCACTCAGGATACTGGAGCCCATGTGCACCATTGGTTTGAGATCCGGTTAAAGCGCCGGACATTCGCTTTTCATCCTCTCATTTTCGTAAACAACATCCCGCCACGAGAAGGCAGTGAGTAGGACTTCCCTGGCAGAGGCTGTATACGCGTGGCCGTGTGAGAGCATTTCGAGAGGGAGGGCGGGCCCATCCCACTCTCGGCCGTACCAGGGCATTTGGGGGTATCAAAGGGTGAATACAGAACATTCAAGTCTCATGACAAACAATTAATTATTCAACTGATTAATGTTTGACTTATAAACCAATGTATTAAGACTCAGTGATTTAAAAACTAAGTATTTGTTGTGGGAGTTGAGCAACCTGATTTCTGTCCTCGATGAGATCATAAATGCCCACAACTGAATAGTTCTATACTCGGAATAAGCAGTTGTTGAATACTTTCTAGTTTCGAGTGCTTGTTCAACCAAAGTCAATTTGTGATGTTAATCTTTATTCTCAATAATCTCCATAACATCCGGTGATAAATTTAATAATACACTTAGCATTGTGATTTCCATTCTTGAATAAGTTTGTCGATTACTCTCTCTAGTATCTTACAACTGATTTATTTTCTTCGCTCTTAATTTAGTGCTAGAAGACATTTATAACTGATCAAATAACTGAAATAACCATTCGTTATGCAATCGAAAAACTCCTAGATGATGCAGAAAGCAACATATTCATGTTATTGTCTAACTCAAATAATTAAACAGTACAGTTATTACTAATATTACTGTCTGTTTCATGTGATCCTAGAGCGCCAAAGTAACAAGTCCGGTTAACGGAAGAGGGTTGTGTATGAGGTTTGTAAACCCATGACGTAGAAAACGACTTTTCTAAAGCACGTTCACTCGGAAAAAATCATTTAACGTATTTAAACTCTGCCCTGAAAGTTGAAGGGTTTTCATTTGGAAGAGTTATGATGTCTCATGGTAAAAGCAGAGATTTTTCGGAATTCACAAGGCTCAAGTCCCTCCCTAACAACCAGAGCATCAATTAACATAGCAATAAGATCCGTCAAAACTGTATATTCTCAGCACCATTTGGAACAGAGTTCATGAATTTCAAGTTTTTTTTACCACTGATCTTATCTTCAATGGCTTATATTCCTAATCTCAATCAATCCTAAATGTTTGAACAAATATACTTCCAATATCACTAGTCGATCTTATACTTGACATAGTAGAAAGAAAGTTTTAACGTCAGAATGATTTGTTTTCTTAAAAACTTCTAATGTAATACAAGAATGATACAAATAATAGAGTGTAATATAATTCCTTCATGGAAAAAGTTGAAATATTTAAACAGTGTAACATATAAATTCACTCGGTATTGTTTACTTCAATCTTCCCATTGATGTTTAGCACTGTAATTGATCAGTCTCTTATTGGCATTTGTGCATACTATGCATATTGCTTAGATATAGCTTTAATTCACAAGCATCATATGCAAAGATGGTTGGTGGCTGGAAGTGGAATCCAGGACACGTGTAATACATAATAATTAAATTTTAAAAAGAAAACTATAACATTTATAACTGAATAAAATAATTGTCTTAAAACTACTTATATTAATTAAGAAATATTTTAATAGTTGAGATCATGAGTCATTTAAAGAAAGAACACCATGGAAAACCTGGAAACACTGGACAGCCAACCGTTTCATCCTACTGTGAGACCCCTCAGCAGTGCGCATCCACGATCCTGCCTCGCGAGATTCGAATCCAGGCACTATTGGTCTGGCGTTAGGTTTTTCATGATAATCTAGCTTCAATTGACTCATGATTTCAACTATTAAAATCATTATAATATCCAGAAAACCCCTTCTGATACTAACAAATATTTACCAATCGAAATGTGCAAATCAATTTAATTCACAGAGTGGAATAATTTAGGCTACTAGAAATTTCTAAGAAAAAAAAACTGGTATTCATGGTAAGGTGGAATAGATTACATGCCACTGCATGATCACATAGTAAGTATATGGTTGGTCTTCTGTGAATGAGTGATTTATGCGTTTGGTTAAAATTAATACTCTCATGTTCTCCTGTCTGCGTCATTTCAGTCTATATATATGGAGAGTTATGTATATCACTATTCAGATCTTGGCAACAAAGATTCCCCTATACTGGGTTAATTGAAAGTTAAGGAATCGTGAACTAGTAGTTGAAATGAATCGAGGGCGAGATTATGATTTATGGACGAATAGATCAGATTTAGGATAATATGTCATGGATTTTGGCGTGAAATTCATTGATCCATTTGGCCAAATAGAGGTTTGGCGTTATAATTGATATCAGTTCGTGATGAAAACCCTAAATCGAATTCCTAGCCTTAACCATCAACTGTAAATCATAATTCTAATTCCTCACACTGGTTTGTAACCATCGTTTGGTTCTAGTTATTAAGTGGACACTTTCAAGGTCACTCTAACGTGACTCAAACTTACTTACTTACTTACGCCTGTTACTCCCAATGGAGCATAGGCCGCCGACCAGCATTCTCCAACCCACTCTGTTCGGCGCCTTCCTTTCTATTTCCATCCAATTGTTGTTCATTCTTCTCATATCTGTCTTCATTTCTCGGCGTAATGTGTTCTTTGGCCTTGAGGATTCCAAGTGAGTGCTGGCCTCGTGATACAGCTTGGTGATTTCCGTAATGTATGTCCTATCCACTTCCAACGTCTTCTCCTAATTTACTCTCCAGCTGGAAGCTGATTTGTTCTCTCCCACAGTAGGCTGTTGCTGTTGGTGTCCGGCCAACGGACATTGAGTATCTTGCGTAGACAATTTTTTACAACTACTCGCTACTACAGTATTATTTAGTCCATGTTTAGTCTTGATTATTTCTTCGAGAAGGTTTACTCTGTTGCCAACTTGAATAAAATTACCATTGGATTTAAATTCAACAGTGTTTAGATAAACCACTCACTACAAGTTTAAAAAAATTACTATGCGAAGCAATGACCAGTGGAGTTCAACCGAGTCTGTTGTGAGATAGTAACTCACTGAAGACAATGGTAAATATATCGCTCAATTTCGTGGATTAATTGAAATTAGACGTTAACACCGTTGGATACTGGCTGGCTCAATGGTTTACAAGTTAAGCGTTTGCGTGCAAGACTGATAAGTCGTAGGTTAGAATCTCGCGAGGCGGGATAGTGGATACGCATTACTGAGGAGTCCTATACTATAACGAAACGACTGTCTATTATTTCCTAGTTTTCTATGATCTCAACCATTGAAATAATTAAATATTGTACAAACTACATTATTATCAGAATTCATTTCATGAACATGTGTGAACTGGATTATGGATTCATTGGAATTGTTTCTTTTTTTTTTCTAATTTTATTAGTACTATCTACCTTATCTTAATAATTATTTTATATTTATTCTGTTTTATGATATTCTTCTCTCTCTCTCTATGTTATACATACTACTAAAGATGAAATATTCAACAGATGTATATATTATTATATATACACTTGATAATTTCATGATCAGCTACTGTCTTCTATTAAACGTCCTGAACAATATTCGCTTTACATTGAAGACAATAAACGAATGAATGAGAGAGGGAAAGAAGAAGAAGAAGATAAAAAAAGGCTACCATATGAGTGAGTGTAAGATAAAGACAGATTGATGAAAATCATGGTCAACAAATTTGATAAACTTTTAAATCACTACGTTTAATTCTTTATTGTATGCAATGAAAAACATCAACTTACGCATGTGTGTTGTATACACCACCCTGATTATTGTCAACTATAAAGTACCTCACTCCCTCACTCTCTCCCTCCCTCCTGGCTTAATGTCTTTTAGAAAGGTTGGATATTTGTATTTTTATTAGTTCGAAACATTTATCTATAAGATAAACAAAGTCTTCTTATAGACAAAGAGTATTATTCGAAACTTAATAAGGGGGAAAAAGAATGAAACAAAACAACAACAACAACAAAAAGAAAACAATATCTCTTTCTTCCTTTATTATTTGTTTTCTTCTTTCTGTTTATCCCTAAGATGATGATTATAGTATGGATGGATGGATGAATGAATGAATAAGTAGTTTTTCTTTTCTACCCTTCTCATTATCTAAACAGAATACTTGTCCATGTGTTCCACTTATGTTTATTCTAAACGAAAATTCTATCTAAATGATACATGAAAACTAATAAGGAATATTGAATAGGATCGAATAGGTTGGGTTAAGTTAATAAGATAGATTCTACAGATATTGATATGATTCAGTTAAAAAAATATGGTGTTAATTATGATATGTGTAGATATTTGTTATTCTATCATAAAAAAAATTTTCATTTTCTGTCACTAAATGATAGAAAAAGTCAATAAAAGAAAAGATAAATAAATAAATAATTGTTTATTTAATTAAAGATCATTGAATAGATCTCATTTATTTACAAGTTCAAACTTGTATTAGTGATTTTGAATACTACTACTACTACTACTACTACTACCCAAAGTACTAAAACTATTCATATTACTTGTAATGATGGATAGTGGCTAGCAGTGGAATCCAAGATGCGTGTTTCGTCCTATTTGAGACTCGTCAGTCAATTACATAAGCAAGTGGATATCAGAATTTAGTAGTTAAGTGGACAACACGATGGTGTTTGAAGTAAACGGTACTGAATTCGAGTCCCAGAGTGAACATCAACTCTGAGATGCGGATACATCCAGCTGACAAGTCCCAAATAAAAAGAATTATGCGTTCTGGATTCCATTGCTAGTCACCAACCATCTTTGCATATAATGCTCGTGAATTAAGACTATATCGACGCAATACATACAGTATGCGCAAATGCCAATAACAGACTGATGAATTACAGTAGGAAGATTGAAGTAAACAATACCATTTGAATTTGTTTATATTACTTCTGTAACTTCATTGGAAGTGAAAGCGGCATCATGAACGAATATTAGAATGATGCTGAGAAGAAAAATAAATGGATTTTTGCGTATAAAACGATGATTCTTGTCTTATCTTCAAGTCTAATGACGATAGCGGAGCACCAGATGTGAGCAATTAGAAAATGATAGGCTCACATTTCAATTCTTATTACTAACGTAGAAACTGCAACGTACAGATATGCCCAGCTGACGAGTCCCCAGTAGGATGAAACGCGTGTTTAGGATTTTATTCTTAACTATTATCCAGAAACATATAATACTTTCCTTCTGAATGAGGATATGCAATAGAATTTATAGGCCTTCAGTTCTATTAATTCACATCTGATTTAACTATATTCTCCATAATGACAGGTATAAGATGATGGAAGCATAATATTATGAAGTGACCTAAGTTACGAGTATTAATTACCAAATCCTATATAAGTGGTGTAAAATTAATAGATATGAAAATGTAAGTCATTGAATTCTGACTAAATTGTGAAATGATACCCTGGTCAACTCAAGATTACATCAGGTTCTGTGTTTAATATTGTATTGAGTTGTAGGTTTAATTTACTGAGAAGTGTAACAGAAAGATGATTTTTTAGAAAGTTAATATCAGTTTGTGATAAAATCTAATGATATAATAATTGATGACACTATTTACATTAATTGATCACTGATTAGTGGCAATTATCTTGTTTATCTAGTTCCTAATGGTGAATTGATTCCATCGACTAAGTTTCAGCATGACAACTAACTTGATTATCTCCATATTGTGTGCAGTATTCAAAAATGTTAGTCCGGTTGATGACATTCGATAGGAAACCTTGAACCTAGTTTTTATTCTAGTCAACACTAATTAATAAGATATACTTATAATATTACGGGGAGTAATCCTATCTGTAGGATTTGAACCTATGTCACATAGCCTTGTAGCCAGAGATATTGCCACTTGGCTATTTGACCAGTGAATGATGCCTGGAGGATTTTAAAAATACGAAATCGGTCACTACTCAGTAATTAATCTGAGTAAAAATGTTATCTTTATATAAGGCTGAACGCGACCCGAATAGCCCAACGGTAACGTCTCAGGCTGTTGTGTTGAGAAACGTGAGCCCAAAAACCATAGGTAATATCACTCTCTATAATATCATAAGTATATCGTGTTAACTAGCACCGACTAGAATGAAAACTAGATTCAGTGTTTCCTGTTGAATGCTTCAAACCACTCAACATCAAAGTGATACTGCCCGGTTAATAAATCTTAAATCGAGGTGTGAGTTCTGATCCAATAATTGAGTTATTGGATCTTAAACATTCTTACCATAAAACCATTACTCCAGTCATAACTCGGAAGTTCAATTAGTCCCACCTCACTATTCAGTTTCATAGTATATAGTACGTGCTACATACAAATTCGATCGTCTTTTAGGAAACCAATGTTTATTTCGAGAAGATTTACCGTTCCGATCTTGATTCTGCAAAGGATACATTATTGTGTTGTTGAGTTCTCAATGAATAATAAAGTTATCATAGCTGTGCGATTTTTGTATGGTTTATAAATAATAAATGATCATTTCTCATCATAAGAAAAATTATTTTAAATGCCTCACAACAAGTAATCCATAGTGTTAAGATGTTGATGACACTCTGTTAGAAGCCCTGGATATAAGCTTATTGTTGGCTAATATTTATCATTCAATCCAGATCAAGTGAAGCAGCAGCGGCGAGAATATAATTTATGGACAAACCAGTCAGATTTAGGATAACAGTTCATGGATTTTGGCTGGAAATTCATTAATCCATTTATCTAAATAGCGTCGTGGCATTATAGCTTATGTCAGTTCGTGATAAAAACCGTAAATCTGATTCCTAATCCTAATCGTCAACTGTAAATCATAATTTTAATTCCTTACACTAGTTTATCACCATAATTTAGTTCTAGTTAGTAGGTGGACATACTCAAGGTCGCTAAGGCGTCGCCCAAAGGTCATCCATAAATTATAGTCTCACTGCAACAGCTAACGAAGACAAATACAACATTACCTATCAAATAAACTGTATTAACTGTGAAAAACACTTTACTGGACTGAGTAAATGCCACCGTCACCAGTATATACGTGAACGAATGCTAACAGTGAAAAGGTATGCTATGCTATCACTGATATCAATGCATCTAAACAACTGCTGATACAAATTTGATTGAGAAATCATTCATATCATGGGTCCAAAATATCCCAAGAATCGTAAGGATTTTCAAGAAACATTTTATTCAGGTCAATCGATGAGTAACAGAGATGTCGTTGATGACTCAATTTATAAGTTTATAAGAAAGAGTTCAACTAACTACAAGCCCAAGTGCTTACTTCTACATGGAGTAAGCGCTAGTGATGTTGTGGAGAACGACAATGAAATCTTTTTAAAATAAATCATTCGTGTTAGAGAACTTAGTATCACTAAAATGTTTTCCTAAATTTAATATTTTTCCATAGTTTCAATTTCTCTAGCAATAAAAAAAAGTAACGTTCTTTCAGAGTTTTGAACTCGCATTACAGGAATCGTACTCAGAAAAGTTATCAACCAGCAATTTAACCTTTTATGTTAATGAATGTTAACTTCCAAGAGAACCTGAGTTTCTTCTTTATTGATTACGTCCGAACATATAATATCAAATATAGTACACTAAATTGTCAACTACTTATATTATTAGAATTGAGTTCATATTATTTAAGTTTATCACAGATCTTATTAAATAAAGATTTAGTTTCAATCAAAGATTTATCAAAAGTATGCGTGCACAACATTGGATGATGATGATGATGATGATGATGATGATGATGATGATGATGATGATGATGATGATGATGATGATGATGATGATGATGATGATGATGATGATGATGATGATGATGATGATGATGATGATGATGATGATGATGATGATGATGATGATGATGATGATGATGATGATGATGATGATGATGATGATGATGATGATGATGATGATGATGATGATGATGATGATGATGATGATGATGATGATGATGATGATGATGATGATGATGATGATGATGATGATGATGATGATGATGATGATGATGATGATGATGATGATGATGATGATGATGATGATGATGATGATGATGATGATGATGATGATGATGATGATGATGATGATGATGATGATGATGATGATGATGATGATGATGATGATGATGATGATGATGATGATGATGATGATGATGATGATGATGATGATGATGATGATGATGATGATGATGATGATGATGATGATGATGATGATGATGATGATGATGATGATGATGATGATGATGATGATGATGATGATGATGATGATGATGATGATGATGATGATGATGATGATGATGATGATGATGATGATGATGATGATGAGATGATGATGATGATGATGATGATGATGATGATGATGATGATGATGATGATGATGATGATGATGATGATGATGATGATGATGATGATGATGATGATGATGATGATGATGATGATGATGATGATGATGATGATGATGATGATGATGATGATGATGATGATGATGATGATGATGATGATGATGATGATGATGATGATGATGATGATGATGATGATGATGATGATGATGATGATGATGATGATGATGATGATGATGATGATGATGATGATGATGATGATGATGATGATGATGATGATGATGATGATGATGATGATGATGATGATGATGATGATGATGATGATGATGATGATGATGATGATGATGATGATGATGATGATGATGATGATGATGATGATGATGATGATGATGATGATGATGATGATGATGATGATGATGATGATGATGATGATGATGATGATGATGATGATGATGATGATGATGATGATGATGATGAACAGAACTATTTTTCAACTGTTTCACATAAAACTGATATCAAACAAACTATCACTTGAAAGATTACAAACTGACAGAAATTGAGAAATGATTATTGTACACATGTGTTATTTGTTTACTTAAATGAATCTATATTTTACCCCAAAACAATTTTACTTTTCTGAAAAATATCCCATCGGAATAAATAGACATAATATAAACAATGTTAATAAATAATCACAAAAACAAAATTCAGCAACTCATAACATAATAAAATCACACACCCACACATATACACACAGAGGCAGAAAGGGTATGTAGACGATGCGACAGGATCCCACTAGAAAACGAGATGCATTTTACAATTATACGATAAACAGTATATGACTATTTAAAGCAAACAAACCAAGTAAAAAAACAACGAGAGAACAACAAATGCAAAATGGAAGATGAACGAAGTGAAGTAAATTAATTATACACATTCATACCATCATCCGATTCATTCATGAGTATCGAAGAAGGACGATAAACCTCACTAGTTATTCAGTGTGGAGCTGTTTCAACTACCAATCAAACAAGTTGTAGATCAAAGTGCAATTCTCCTCTTGATATTTATCAACAAGTAAACACTACCACTGTATGTGTATGATCGCAACACAAGTTAGTACATTAATATAATGAAACGTGATGGTGTGTTGATGGTCACAATTTCAAATATGTGAAGCATATTATCTATTATCTTGAGAATTCGTCACTGCTCCATTCACACACAACGAAATCAGAATGTATGAGTGTGATTCAAGTAGTGGACAATGATCGATGAATCGTATGTAGTGAAATCTACTTGATTCCATCTCCATATCACCAGTCACCACTAGATCAACACTTCCATATCACCAATACTCAACATCATACTGATGAATTACTCGACTGACTGGTAACACTATCAAGGTATTCGAAAATCCACATCTATGAACGGAACAAAACCCTATGTCGAAAACTGTCATCAATCGGCCAAAAACAATTTGTTACTATTTGAAACATCTATTCTCCCACATATCATACACACCAACCAAACAATCTCATTCATTATTCGTACGAATTTGTCACTGTCATGTACAGCCAAACATAATATTGTCATCACATGATAGAAATATTACTTCCGAACAGATTAATACCGTCACGTCGAATGTGACAGTCTGCACTAATTGGACAAAACAGAGAGTGTGTGTGTGTCTGTGTTTAGGTGTGAATGAGAAAGCGAGTGAGCGAGCGAGAGACAGAGAGAAAGACAATTAATTGATGACTACTGAATTCAACGTAGATAGCCTAAAGCATGACAGAATGAGATCGATTGTTCAATTCGGTATTGTGCGGGTTCTCACTTCTCATACAACTAACTGATTAACTCATTCACAAATTGTTTTAATTAACGATTGTTAACGATAGTTTCTACTTGCTTGCTTTCATTTCACATTTGATTATGCTGTCTACTTTCATGTTACTACGGTGTTTGAAAGTATGAAATGTTGACAGTTGCAACATATACACTTGTTCAACTGTCGGACAAAAACACAATAAATACACATTGACATAATCTTCATTTCCATTCACATTCATTCATTCAGTCAACCAATTATTTGTTTAATTATTTCTCTCGTTTCTCCATTTGTTTGAGTATTTGTTTGATTGTTTGTTCGTTTGTTCATTTGTTTCCATATATTGTGCGCTCTTATTTGAACAGGTTGAAGATAACATGATATTGTTGATTTTGTTCCAGTTGACTCAATGTGTCTATGTGTTGCATTTCACACGTGTAAAACGTTCACATTTTCACGCCATTTTCACACTTATTTCTTCTGTCTAACTAACACATACAACAATGTTGATCACACTGTTTACTTAACTCCATACTCCCTCTCTCTCCCTCTCTCTCTCTTCGTGTGTTTCTGAGTGTACGTGTTCATGTTAATGATAATGACGATGATGATCGGATCAACTCACTTGTTCTGTTGTCAATGTTCATTCATCTCTATTCTCCCGAAATGATATTCACGGAATGATCATTTGTAAATTAAATGAAAACTAGTTCACTTGTCCAATCTATTGTCAACGGATTTTCATTATCTTCTACATTGTATTTCGTCTCTGTTTCTCATATCACAATAAAAAGTGGCAATCAATAATTACTCTGTCGTTGAATAATCAATCAATTGTCAAGTTAATTGTAATTAGTTAACAGAAATGATGAAAAACAATAAATAAATTGAGGGAACTTTCTCATCTGTTCATAACATTGTTGTTGTTGTTGTTGGCGGTGGTGGTGATGATGGTGTTGTATGGATAAGAGTTTGTTGTTAAAATGTGATTGTGAATAATAGGTATTGCATATGAACATTACTTTACGATGTATTGAAATGATGTAACACTACATGTGACTTTAACGAAAACTATAATGAGGAGAAATCTCCCACTTATTCATTAGATGTTTTTAGGGGTTATACATTACTTGAATCAAGTGAACGGAACATTCTCATTAGTAGCTATCAGTTCATAAACTTCATAGGGAATGTTCTATCCAAATGTGAGAGGAATGAATACTTGGATTATTCTGAAGTCGAATTCGGTCACTATTACGTTCGTGACATTTGAATAGTCAGTTGTTATTCACAGGAAGGAAACATCTGTGTGTGTGAGAGAGAGAGAGAGAGAGAAAGAGACTAATCGCTGAATGCAGATTAGTGAAATTAATTGTATATCGACATAATGTATGTTTTACATTGATAAGAACACATAGATGGTGACGTTGGATATGTGGATAATCAATTATTTACAATTGCATGTATATAGTGCTATCTCACTTACCACATGAACTTAATAAACCATGTTAATCGCACGATTATTTTGGGCATTCCAATTATTCACTGATTTAGCTTATCGGTTTATCCTGATTTTCTGAACTTATTCAAAAGTGGTAAGCAACGTCAGTTTAAAAAGAAGGATATTGCGTGGAAGATATGGACTACTGTATTTTATCGGACTAACATAGTGTATGACCAGTGATGTGTCACCGAACACTTGTCAAATCATTCATCAAGTTCAACCATTCCAACATTCAATGACTGACCAATAATTTTTGATTTATCAGATGAATATTTTGATTGACATGATTGATGATTGAGATGGATGAATATCGGAGGATCATTGAAGACCTGGGATCACTGGACGACAGTTCCATCATATTATTGGAATCCCCATGTGTGCACGCACACGTTCCCACAACAAATTGCTCAAACATAGTAATTTCGGTATCACATGCGAACACTCAGTTTGTATAACAGTGATCCGACATACAACCGTGTTAATGTCCAATTTCAACCAATCCATGATGTTGCACGACCGTCCTCAATTGTCTTCAGTGGGTAAATGCCTCAAAACAAACACGCTTGAACTCCATTCATCAGAGATTCGTGATCTCAAACAAAGCTCAACAATGTCGTCGAAAGTAGTCAACGTAGATTAATGGATTGCGCCTAATGAATTACCATGTGCTGCAGTATGTACACAATCTGTACTGCTAAATTTGTTTAGCTAATAAACTAGACCACTTTGCCAAGATCGTACTTGTTCCGTACTGTTATACAAGGAGACACATTACTCAGATACTGTGAAATGAAATACCCATGCATTATGACTTCAACGCATAATAGGATAAAATCATTCCCGTTCTACTCCACTGAATACACCACCATCTACAACATATTAGCCATTTGTGAATAATATACCTGTCAAACAGTCATGCTAGGACGAAACGGCCGTCCAGTGCTTCCAGGTTTTCCATGGTGGTCTAGCTTCAATCGACTCATGATTTCAACCTGTGAAATTACAATATGGTTAAAACTGTGGTTTGTTACAATGTTTGTAATTAGTCATCACCAATTAAGAAAACAGTGAAATGGGATCAGTCATCGTAGTGATTATTACTATCATTAATTTTACTATAATTATTGTTATTGTCGGGACGATCTGAATAATATTGGTGTATGGTTTTGTGTAGGTTGTGAAATGTTCACCGTTTAGAATTCAATATGATTGTAGATAGACGACCATGGAAGAGCGGAGAGCACTGGAGAGTTATTTTGTTGTAGTATGGGACTCTTCATCGATGCACGTGTATGACCCTACCGGAGGAGTTGTATCCCACGACGATCGGTTTATTATGCAAACGCTTAACTTCTCGACCACTAAGCCATCATCCAATGGCGTACACGTCCAACTTCAATCAACTGACGATATTGAGCAACAATCTTCCATTAACTGTGTTGTATAATTCTTTCGCACAATACATCACTGAATTCCTCATATTACGCCTTCGCAATAGAACTAGAGTCATTTTTTCATGAAACTAGTCACCGATGACCACATGCTTTAGATGAGTATTGAGTTTTGTGGAGAATTTAGTAACATATTTGATTTTTGTCATTAATTCATAACCGAATTATGCGGGTTCTTCCAGCCAATGAACACTAACAACGGATTCTGTTCATATGTGACTATTAGATATTGCATATGAACTTTACGATGTATTAAAATAATGTGGGGATATATCTCTCTTATTTATTTGATGTTTTTATGGGTTATACATTTATTGTGTCAATTGCTCCTGGCAAGCAACAGATTGTCTTTTTTTCTGGTAAGGTACTCCTCAACGGTGAACAAATATGACACTCTATTGAGGTTCATGTCGAATGACTTTCACCCTTGAACCTATATTGTTTATTAAGAGAAATAACTGTATTATGAAGATTACAAGACGTTGAGAATCAATTATTAATTTATAATTGCTATGTTTGAAGCGATTACGAGTTCACTTAGTCTGCGATCGGAACAAAGACTTTTGACCAAAGACAAATAAACTAGCTATTCTGTTGCGTCCCAGCCCCGCTAACTAGAGAGAGAAATCGAAGTCCGAACGGGGGAGTATATTCAGCAAAAGCCAGAACCACGAGCGATAACAACAGACACAAATCGAAACGTATATATATACAGCACAAAACCTTCCTTGGGAAGCGTTACAAAATCGCCCACTAAAGGACATAACGGACCAATAGCGTTTAAGACTCTCCCAAGTGGGAAATATAACATATATAACGTCCCCAACAATAATCTTGATTACTAAAATTTTATATAATATCACATAGATAAAAGTTATT